CTGATCCACCATGTGGCTGCTCACAGACCGGGCTGTGGGGGCATTGACCCCCGGAACTCTTTCCACATATACTCCAGGTATCACGATGGTTAGAATAAAGAAATTTGGTAAAATAACTGCACACAAAAAGTACAAAACGCATGCACAACACAAGAGAGATGCTTCCACGGCGAGGTAACCACATGCACTGAACAAGTGAGATGCGGGATGCTGGGTGGATGTTGTGGTGTTTGCTGCGCCAACTAGTGGCAGCATATCTGAGGCTCACACGTAACTCAGATTTTGGCTTGCAACTCAAAGCAAAAAATCAACCAAGCGACAGCTCGTAACTCGGAAAACTCATAAGTTGAGGCACTTATAAGTCAAGGTACCACTGTACTTGAAAAATGGGAGGAGGGAGAGGCTAACTGTGTGTGGATTATTCTTATATTCATGGGGAAGAGCTAAACTCAAAGGGTTCATACAGCATCTGAGGAATAGAAGGTAATAGGTGTGATCAGAGTAATGGGAGGGTAGCTTCAATTCCTAAGATCAAGAATCATCTCCTGAAGGGCAACATGTGGAATGTGACCCTATTGTTTCTATGTTATTCACCTTGTATCATATATTTCTACTGTTGGAGCCAATTTTTAAGAGCATAACTTATGTGTCTTGTGGGGAAATACTGTACTTTCCTTCTTACCATTCACTTAATATGATCAATATACACTATTGGCTGCATTTAAAAATATTGTACTGCATTGGCATTTATCCATCTTTCATAATTTTTTTATTAATACATCAGCTATTTCCCACCAAGGCAGGGTGACCCAAAAAAGAAGAAACACGTTCATCATCACTCACTTCATCACTGTCTTGCCAGAGGCACACCTACATTCCAGTTCAAAAACTGCAACATATATCCACCCCTCTTTAGAGCACAGGCACCCTATTTCATACCTCCAGGACTCAGCCCAGCTACCCGGTTTCTCTGAATCCCTTCATAAATGTTACACTGCTCACACTCCAACATCACCTTAAGAGATTCTTGAGTGAGGTGTTCTGCTACCCACACAGGTATTTTGTTAGTGCAGTCATACTCAAGTACATGATTCTTAAGTTTCCTCTTAATGCGTCCACCAATGGGCCAACCGAATCTTAGGATTTGTTCAACTCTAGTGTTCTCCTCTGAAACAATTTATAAAATCATCATGATTCTTTTTAATGGCTGTGCCACAAAAACTTAAATTTTATTTCTGAGTTTTCGTTTGATGAAATGAAGTTGTTAGATGTAATAAGTACTCTGACCGAAAAGGTTGGTTTAATGCAAAAAAAGCACACGCACAAGAAAATATCACTATAATTATTAATTAAGGGTTAGTTGTATTTTTGGCAAAAGATTCATTAATTTATTTTTCAACAAATGGTCTGGAACTAAAAATCCTCTTTATATACTGCTAATTCGTAATGTTAATGAATAAATTAAACAGTTAAATACCTGGATAATGACTAAACCCTTCAGAAGAACGAATTTTAATCGGTGCTTTTGACAAGTCGGCAAAATGTGGATCATCTTTGGTAGAGGTCTCAGAACTGCTGTAGCTCAGCTTTGAAAAAGTGATCCATCCCATCGTGGACAGACATCCAGCAACTACACCACCAACAAAAGGTAGTTTCATCGTTGTGAGGTTTTTTAATCCAATTGAAACCTGAGTTGTTCTGTACTGCTGGAGGCAACCTGGATGGCAAAATCTGGAATTTATGACGATGATATGTTTGTGTTCATACAAGAAATTATTTAAATTATTATCTAATACGGTTTGATGTAATCAGTCTATCACCCCTGGTGCAAGATAATCAGTCTCTTAGTCTTAAGGTGATGGACTGATTACATCGAACTGCTTATCTACTTCGTCTACTACTATCATCCATGACTGACATCTCCAGGAGTATGTTTCATCTCTGTATTCAACTGATGAAGCCTAAAGTGCAGGCAAATGTCCCATTAATGAAGATTCCTAGTCTTGTAAGTAAGTTTATTCAGGTATACACAAATACAGTTACATAGATTATTATACATAGAAGCATATATGTAGAGAACCTAGGATATCCCAAAAAAGTCAGACAGAGTGACTTATTTCCATTGGGGTCCTTGCACATATCTTATTCATCAACTCGTTGTTATTGTATACCATTTAAGTACGTATGATCTTTTTGAATTTATTTAGTAAACTGTTCATGGTCAAAATAAAAAAAAAATTACTTAGAGAAATAGCCAAATAATTCTGAAAATTATAGATTAATAACATATTTGACCTTGAGGAAAGGGCAGAAAAAATAGTAACTCAAAAGGGCTATTAACACATCACTCGAGAAGACAAACAGTGTGGTTTATTTCTACTGGGGTTCTTTCATCCTCTACCCCAGAAATATACCAACAACAATCAGGTAATAACCAGGTAGCTATTTACTACTAATTGAACTGGGGCAGCTGGTGCAAGGAGTCTTGCTTACATGTTTTATCTTTTCCAGGATTGTACCCGGGTCTTCTGGTTGTGAGCTGAAGGCACTACAACTGCAGTAGTAGTTATGCAGTGCATTTCAGGCAAATTTAAGATTAAACTCACAATAAATTAGTTACAAATGCACTGCATGATTACAGACTTTTCTTGTAGCAACAACAGAAAAATATTCAACACAAAACTTTGGTAATGCCATGGACAAATAAACTAAACTACTTTACTAGGGACATGTAGAATGGTATAACCTGAGCAAGTTTGTTTATTTTTGTACCATTTCACATCTTTTGGATAATTATAATTGTTTTACATAATAACACAAGTGTTAATTACCTAGGATAACCCCAAAATTAGTCAAGCTGTAACGTATTTCCAGTGAGGTTCCATTGTAATGCCTTAACTATTATAATTTTAACTCTGGCAAGAGAGAGAAAATAAGGTACCTCAATAACCCTCCCTATGACTCTTGTTGATGGCTAGCTCAGTCGACAGAGCATGAGATTATTGGTAGAGCATGGAGTCTTGGGTTCAAGCCCCACGTTGGGTGGAATAATTATGGTGTCTCGTTGCTCGACTGGAAGTGCACTCTCCTCGCATACTGAATGTCCATGAGTGGAAACGGTGGGCATGTTTCCTTACACCTGCTGCCCCTGTTCACCTAGCAGTAAGAAGGTACCTGGGTGTTAGTCGACTGGTGTGGGTGGAATCCTGCGGGACAAGATTGAAGGACCACAGTGGAATTAAGACAGACAGTCCTCCTGGGTGGCTAACATTCCGGGTTAAAAATGCGAACAAATCTTATCTAAAGATAAATCTGAAGTGTACCTTCTCTGAAGCACCTTTGTTCCATCACAACCATTGTAAAAATTTAATCATATATGTTAACTACTTAGGTAGAAATAAGTTACCCTCATTTTATTTAAATATCCTAGGTTAAATTCCATATAATTTACAAAAATACAAAATGACACTTACTTCCTGTTGTTCTTGGGGTTTACAGGGCCACCACAACATACGCCGTATTATATTGTTTTGGGAGGATTACCAGGGTCACTGACAACTAACGCCGTATTGAGTCCTGCCTCGCGATGTCCAGAGAAAAAAATCCTTGTCCAGTTCAGAGACGATATTACGCCGTTTTGAGTCCTGTCTCGATGTCCTGGAAAGAATCCTTGTTCAGTAAACGGAGGGATGATATTACGCCATACCGGTGGCCTGGTGGCTAAAGCTCCCGCTTCACACACGGAGGGCCCGGGTTCGATTCCCGGCGGGTGGAAACATTTCGACACGTTTCCTTACACCTGTTGTCCTGTTCACCTAGCAGCAAATAGGTACCTGGGTGTTAGTCGACTGGTGTGGGTCGCATCCTGGGGGACAAGATTAAGGACCCCAATGGAAATAAGTTAGACAGTCCTCGATGACGCACTGACTTTCTTGGTTCTGGGTTATCCTGGGTATGACAAATACATCCCTCCGGGGTCTTGGGGAGAATCCTTGTCTAGTTTAGGTCGATGATAGTATGCCGTATGAGTCCTGTTGCCTGCGAAACTAGGACAAATATATTTCCCAAAACTGGGAAGGAATTGGAAACAAGGTTTCCTACGTAAAGAGAAATGGGAACAACTGTTAGCAATAAAGCCGGGTGGATCCTTTTTTGGGTTATCCTAGGTTCTCTACACATATGCTGCTATGTATGATAATTCTATGTAACTGTATTGTGTATACCTGAATAAATTTACTTACTTACTTACTTACTTACTTACTTACCCCAACAGAGCTAGATGGCACACCACCTGTCCACAATCCTAGCTGGCACAACTTTTGCCCCCAACTTCCCAGTACTAACACTAGCTCCCCACCCTCGTCAGACCCCTGTGACCCTTTGGCGATACACACATCAACTCCAGCCTTATCTCAGTCCTTGAATTCAATCGCAGCAAATACAAGGTTGCGAAGATTAGGGAAGGATCATAGACACGAAGATTAGGGAAGAAAAATAGACACGGTGAACAGAGGCTACATACCTCAAAGAGAAAGATACGTGGGTGACGATAGTGCCTGGTATATCACCAGAGGCTCACATCAAACGAATAACCTCCGCAATGCTCGTCTGGCAAATACAAATAATACAAATAATTGTATAGGGATACTTTGTCAGTGATAGTATTATACGGAAAATTTCTGATATTGTTACATAGAGTATTTTTAGGTGATTTGATTACTAAACTATTTCTGCAGGTATTTCTTCAGAAAATGTTATATAGTCGTATATGGAGTTCTTCAGATATAGTTTGTCAAATACAAGCACTTCCTTACTAATAAAGTGAAAGTGATTCAGAATAATCTTAGACTGAGGTAGGTATATAGCGTAGTATATAGAAGAAAAAGCATAGTGAAGTATTTAGAAGAAGATACATGACGTAGTATATAGAAGTAGGTACATGACGTAGTATATAGAAGTAGGTACATGACGTAGTATATAGAAGTAGGTACATGACGTAGTATATAGAAGTAGGTACATGACGTAGTATATAGAAGTAGGTACATGACGTAGTATATAGAAGTAGGTACATGACGTAGTATATAGAAGTAGGTACATGACGTAGTATATAGAAGTAGGTACATGACGTAGTATATAGAAGTAGGTACATGACGTAGTATATAGAGTAGGTACATGACGTAGTATATAGAAGTAGGTACATGACGTAGTATATAGAAGTAGGTACATGACGTAGTATATAGAAGTAGGTACATGACGTAGTATATAGAAGTAGGTACATGACGTAGTATATAGAAGTAGGTACATGACGTAGTATATAGAAGTAGGCACATGACGTAGTATCATGTGGGAGTTCGAATACGTGGATAGGGTAAAGTAATACTCACGTAGGCTGGTAGTACGTATAATTACGGATAATGTGGGTAGCGCCCAAACAGCCGGCCTGCCTCTCTGCTCTCTCTCGTAAGACTGACTGGCGTTCACTTCCACAGTCTGGCTTACTGACTGGCTTAATTGCAAAACCCGGGTCAACCCCTCGGAGATTGAATCAATTAGCACACGAACTAAGCCAGGAAGCTTGAAAAAACGGCTGCAACAGGCTTGCAGGCTGGAGGTGGAGGTTGTGAGGGGAGCGAGTAGCTGGTGGGTGAGACGGTTCACCTTTGACCCTGCCGGCTACTCACAAACAGTCTTCTAACGTCTTTAATTACCCGTAAAAACTTAAATCCACACTCCACACCGGTTTGCCACCATTTATCATGTGGGAGTTCGAACACGTGGATAGGGTAAAGTAATACTCATGTAGGTGGTAGTACGTATAATTACGGATAATGTGGGGAGCGCCCAAACAGCCGTAACCTTGTCTCCTTGCTCACTCTCGTAACACTGACTGGCCGCCCACAGTACCCATATGTGAGGGGGTCTTTGAATACTGCTGTGGTCAGCACAATATGAATACAGACAGTGACTCAGGCAGAGACGGTTGGTTAGTGAGTCATCTACTGGTACACTGGTTACTGGTAACTGGTTACTGCTGTGGCTGACATCCTTATCCGACATAGACAAGGATGTCAGCCACAGCACCGTGTCTTCCTTTGCAGATGACACCCGAATCTGCATGACAGTGTCTTCCAATTGCAGACACTGCAAGGCTCCAGGCGGACATCAACCAAATCTTTCAGTGGCTGCAGAAAACAATATGAAGTTCAACGATGAGAAATTTCAATTACTCAGATATGGTAAACATGAGGAAATTAAATCTTCATCAGAGTACAAAACAAATTCTGGCCACAAAATAGAGCGAAACACCAACGTCAAAGACCTGGAGTGATTATGTCGGAGGATCTCACCTTCAAGGACCATAACATTGTATCAATCGCATCTGCTAGAAAAATGACAGGATGGATAATGAGAACCTTCAAAACTAGGGAGGCCAAGCCCATGATGACACTCTTCAGGTCACTTGTTCTATCTAGGCTGGAATATTGCTGCACTCTAACAGCACCTTTCAAGGCAGGTGAAATTGCCGACCTAGAAAATGTACAGAGAACTTTCACGGCGCGCATAACGGAGATAAAACACTCAATTACTGGGAGCGCTTGAGGTTTCTAAACCTGTATTCCCTGGAACGCAGGAGGGAGATGATACATGATTATATACACCTGGAAAATCCTAGAGGGACTAGTACCGAACTTGCACACGAAAATCACTCACTACGAAAGCAAAAGACTTGGCAGACGATGCACCATCCCCCCAATGAAAAGCAGGGTGTCACTAGCACGTTAAGAGACCATACAATAAGTGTCAGGGGCCCGAGACTGTTCAACTGCCTCCAGCACAATAAGGGGGATTACCAACAGACCCTGGCAGTCTTCAAGCTGGCACTGGACAAGACCTAAAGTCAGTTCCTGATCAGCCGGGCTGTGGCTCGTACGTTGGCTTGCGTGCAGCCAGCAGCAACAGCCTGGTTGATCAGGCGCTGATCCACCAGGAGGCTGGTCACAGACCGGGCCGCGGGGGCGTTGACCCCCGAAACTCTCTCCAGGTAAACTCCAGGTAAACTACTACTGAGAGTAGTATATAGAAGTAGGTACATAACGTAGTATATAGAAGTAGCTATATAAACAGAGTATCCAGAAGTAGTTACGTAGCGTGATAAAGATAGCACAAAAAAGTAAAAATATTGAAAATACATTCACTGAAGACGAGACACAGACAATTCTGTAACTGCAAATAATACAAATAGCGGGAACTTGCGGGATTGAACCCATGGCAGGCGAGTCCTAAAACTTGCAGGACCAGTGTGCTAACAACCGATTCGTGCCAGCCTAACAAGACTCTTCAAACCAGGTGTATATCTATACATCACAGACAGGTTAGCATGGGCCCCGACTGGACCACAAATGCGGGTTTTTACAGACGAATCCCACACTAACTGTGATGTACTTTTACGATTTCGCGAATCATGGTTACAAGAAAGGTACTCGTAGATAATCAACACCGGATAATTAGACACACATACGAATAAGAATACTCCAAAATGAATGAATGCCTAAATACATAAAACAACTAAAATAAATTTAACAGGTCAAATAAACAATGTTAACTCTGTTAAAAAAAGAGAGGGATACAAGCGTACGTAAATTTAATACCATAAAATAGTTAATCCAGGATAAAACTCTGGCATTAGAGACTTACCTAAAACAATTTACAAATGGATTAATTGTGTTAGCCTCAATTATTCAGCAGAGACCCAAGCCAGCAGAGACTTACACTCAGTGTCGAGAGTTAGGTGTTTGTGTTGTTGTGTGTGTGTGTGTAGTCACCTACTTGTGGTTGCAGGGTGTGTGCCTGTATCTGTGGGGGAGGGGGGTATACTCACCTATCTGTATGTGTGTATTAAGATAAGATTTCTTCGGATTTTTTAACCCCGGAAGGTTAGCCACCCAGGATAACCCAAGAAAGTCAGTGAGTCATCGAGGACTGTCTAACTTATTTCCTCAATCTTGTCCCCCAGGATGCGACCCACACCAGTCAACTAACACCCAGGTACCTATTTGCTGCTAGGTGAACAGGATAACAGGTGTAAGGAAACGCGTCGAAATGTTTCCACTCGCCGGGAATCGAACCCGGGCCCCCTGTGTGTGAAGCGAGAGCTTTAGCCACCAGGCCACCGGGTCACAATGTACTGGGTGTTAGTGTTTGACGTAATGAGCCCTCCCCCCCCCACACACACGCAGAGTACAGGCTAGGTGGCCAAAGACTGCTAACCACGCTCAAGGAGAAAGATCTTGGGGTGACCATAACACCAAACACGTCTCCGGAAGCACACATCAACCAGATAACTACTGCAGCATATGGGCGCCTGGCAAACCTGAGAACAGCGTTCCGATACCTTAGTAAGGAATTGTTCAAGGAATGATCAAGCACGTCAAGAAATTAGAGAAAGTGTAAAGGTTTGCAACAAGGTTAGTTCCAGAGCTAAGGGGAATGTCCTATGAAGAAAGGTTAAGGAAAATTGGCCTGACGACACTGGAGGACAGGAGGGTTAGGGGAGACATGATAACGACATACAAAATACTGCGTGGAATAAACAAGGTGGATAGAGACAGAATGTTCCAGAGAAGGGACACAGAAACAAGGGGCCATAACTGGAAGTTGAAGACCCAGATGAGTCAAAGGGATGTTAGGAAGTATTTCTTCACTCATAGAGTAGTCAGGAAGTGGAATAGCCTAGCAAGTGAGGTAGTGGAGGCAGGAACCATACATATCTCAGACCACTAATTACCCAACAAAAGGCTGCAGTTAGAATAACAAATTCTCACTACAGGCAGCACACTCCACCAATATTCAATACACTAAACCTACTCACCATACAAAACATCCATACTTATTACTGCACCTATTACATACATAGAACACTTAACTCTGATATTAACCCTCCCCTCAAACATCTCCTTGCCAACCTCAACAGAACACATGACCATAACACAAGGCACAGATCACTCTTTGATGTTCCTTGTGTCCATCTCACACTATGCAAAAACTCAATGCACATAAAAGGCCCTAAAATCTGGAATTCATTACCTGTAAATATAAAAGAAACACTACCTGTTTATAAATTCAAGTCTCTTCTCAAAGATCACTTACTCACCCAAAACCAAATAAATACTGAATAACTGAACCTTATAAATTGTATATCTTAAATGTTTCTCACAATTATATCACATAAATGTTGAACCTAAAACCCAATCTAACTTTATTATTTTTTAAATACACTACCTAACAGAATACTCCATACGACTGAATGTACAACAATGCATGCAACCATATGACCTGTCTTTGTAATACTCATTTGTGCTTTATAGTTATCTGTTTACAATAATGTATTATCACTGATTTCGTCATTGCTTAGTTAATTTTAAGCCAGCCCGTAATGCTATGCATAGTATAAGTGGCTTTGGCATGCTGCTCTTATCTGTATTTTTTTGTACCTCTATATGTATGCTCAAATTGTAAATAAATAAATAAATAAATAAATAAATAAAGCTCATGGAGCAGGGAGAGAGAGAGAGAGGACCTAGTAGCACTCGGTGAAGAGGCAGGGTCAGGAGCCGAGTCTCAACCCCTGCAACCAAAATTAAGTGAGTACACCACTACCACCAAGGCACATAACGCCAAGTGACCAGTAAAATCACTGGTCATGTTTCCTCCTAGCGCCAGCTACATCAGAGGAAAGATATACTATGAGACTAGTTACATTTTTCACCAAGTTGGATACCAGCCTCAACGACGAGTATAATTATCAGTAGAACCAAAAAAAAAAAAGTAATCTTAAACAATACTACGACTGCCGCAGTATGTATTAAAGTGATTACATATATATTAAAATCATTACACAGTAATTATGTATGTGTATTATGTTAGCCATAATGAAGTCAAGAAGATGAAGAGAATCCTTGCTACAGCCCAGTGCCCAGCCGAGAAACTCCAGCTTTACCACCCAGTAACCCAGACATGTCCGCGAGCCATGCTGATTGGCATCACATTAAATCACTGGAAGAACGATAGACTGTTGGTGTGGGACTATACTTCTGTATCTAGCCAACACCTACATCCCATATAGTGCTGGTCAGCAGAGTGGTGCTGCTGATCACAAGGAAAATCACAAGCTCAGCCAGTGTAGGGACCTGGCTTACCAGTACCACTTCGTCCCTACAAGTTTAGTGAGATATGGGCCATGGTAAAAGAGTGCCACGGCTTTTCCTTAGAGAGCTGGGTTCGAGGCACATCAAAATCACCATAGACCTGAGGGCTGTCACCTCTCTCTTCCAGTACCTCAGTGTTGTAGTTCAGAAAGGGAACGCCTGTTGCAAATGGGCGTCTGAAGAGTTCTAGGAGTTCCACTCCTTAAATTAAGAGTTTCCACACCTTATGCAGTACTACTACATGCATATGGAAATTTCTCAACATAATGTATACTCGCTTAAATGTAAACATATGATCCATATATCATTCAAATATTTTAAATCTCTCTCTCTCTCTCTCTCTCTCTCTCTCTCTCTCTCTCTCTCTCTCTCTCTCTCTCTCTCACCACGGGGCCAAAAGCTGTGAATTGACCCCTGTAACCATACATAGGTAAGTACACACACACACTGCATCTCTTCTGAGCTTTGACTTCATGACTTTAAACTTGTAATAGACTTATAGAACAGAAGATGCTAAAGAAAACAATCCCAGGATGAGGATAAAGGTACACGGAAGAAAAGGAGATAATTATTAAAAATAAAAAATTCACGTTTGTGTGTTCTCTGGCGTTTTGGATGTGCCTGAGAGACAGAAAAATGATGATGATGACAGCTCCAAAGAGAAGAGAAAGAGGAACAGACTTAAAGGGATTTGGCCGGACATTTTCTCGTTCTTGTGATCCTTTTACGAAGAGAAGACCAGAAGGAGGAGGAGGAAGAAGAAAAAAGACGAAGAGGAGGAAAATGAAAAGAAATAAATGGATGAGGAAGGGGGGGTGGATGAAAGAAAGGGGAAAGAGGGAGGGAGAAGATGGAAAGGAGGGAGGAGAACGGACGGGAAGGAAGAGTAGGGAACGGACGGGAAGGGAGAGTAGGGAACGGATGGGAAGGGAGAGAGTAAGATAAGATTTCGTTCGGATTTTTAACCCCGGAGGGTTAGCCACCCAGGATAACCCAAGAAAGTCAGTGCGTCATCGAGGACTGTCTAACTTATTTCCATTGGGGTCCTTAATCTTGTCCCCCAGGATGCGACCCACACCAGTCGACTAACACCCGGGTACCTATTTGCTGCTAGGTGAACAGGACAATAGGTGTAAGGAAACGTGTCGGAATTTCCAACCGCCGGGAATCGAACCCGGGCCCTCCGTGTGTGAAGCGGGAGCTTTAGCCACCAGACCACCGGGCCACCAGGGAGAGGGTGAGGCGATGACTAAGTTTATATTCAAGAAGATAATGTATATAAGAGAAATAATAATATACACATGAACAAACATACACGGATATGAATAAACGGAAGACTTGAACCGTGGTTCATACATGTTTTGTTTTTTAATTACACAAGTGTTTTTACAGCATTATGTTGCGAGCTCCAAATTTTATTTACAAGCCAAGAGTTATTACCTACCTTAGGTCATTTGAAAGCGTTTATATTGTTATGAAACAGGGAACAGGGTGAAGTTGGAGTCAGCTGTGAACCGGCGATTTCATTTGGCCAACTATGTCATCGATGTTGTTATGCTGTACGAACATGTTTCAGATTCAAGTCATTTTAAGAATGAATGATCTCGGATGAAGTGATGTTCTTGAGAGGGGTACAGGCACAGTGTAGCTGCTGTTTGTTGCCCATCTTGTTGTGTAGAAGCTGTCTTCTCCCCGTCCGCGAAGTGGAGCCAAGTGTGGTACCTTGACAGTATTTACCTTGTACATAACAGTAAGGCCACCCACATCTTTCCAATTTTGAAGGCTCTTTTAAAATGACAGATCGAACTAGAGCGGGTCCTAACGAGAGAGGTCATCTTGCTCGGTTCTCTATTCTGTCCTGAAGTCGTAAATGAGATGAGGTCTGACAAACCAGGAAAATCGTGCATATTCCAGGTGTGAGTATACTTGTGCCTCTTACAGAGTTTTACAGCCTCTACTGTTGAGCAGATATAAGATAAGCCTTAGTGCTATTATCGTCTTGGCTGCCTTGCACGATTTACCATGTGATTCTTCTTAGACATTCTGGAATCAAATTTTACCCACAGGATATTCACACTTCCATTCATTCATTCATTCTTACTTTTGCTCCGGTGTTAAAATTATTCTATTTATGATCATCATAATTTGCGTTTTCTAAGAGGGGAATGTAACCTGTCATGTTTTTTCTCAGGTTGATATAGCTGAAAGTTGGTGATCGATGTGGCTGAGAGAAACTGGCATTTCCTCTCTTGGATAAGTAAATGTCAGAGTACAGTCATCGGTATAGACATGGGATTCAGGGATGAACTGAAGGTCATTGAAGTAGACATCCCATAACAATGGCCCAAGCACACTTCTCCATGGAACACTGGCACGGATTGTCTTGTTGACTCCCACCGATAGCTACTCTTAGAGATCTACCTTAAAGATAATCACTAAGGAGGTGTAGTGCAAAAACTCCTATTGCTTGTAGTTTTGCCAAGAGTTCCTGGTCGAAAGCACCAGCAATGTCCATTGTTACTACACAGCTGATCTTGCATTCATCCAGCAACTGATGCCAAATAGTATTAGAGAG